ATAATATTTCTTTTATTGAGAAAAATTTGTACTTTGTACAAATTTTTTTCATGTTTTTCTCGTGTGACTTTTTATATCATCAAGATCAATTCTCAAATGCAACGTCAAAGATGCCGATCTATAGAAATGACGTTTAATAATAAAATTTTTATGAATTTGCTATTGCAGTTCAACTATTTTACTTCTGATATTAGATATCTACCTTAATAACTCTCAAGTTAAGTTTTCTCAAAATAAAGTCAATTTGATGTTAATCGAAATAAATTCTTGTTATCTATTTACGTTTTAAACTTTTACCTTTCAAACAATTTTTCTAATCAATAATGTTATGCATAAATTTTCTTTTTGTTTTCTTATTGAAATATATTTTTTTCTACAAAGTTGAAATAATAAGATATTTATGAATAAATAAATAGACAAAATATCAGAAAAATATTCACCCAAAATATTTACCCTAATACAGTTCTCGAGGTTATCACACTACATCTTGACGCAACGAAGATTGCTCTGAGGCAATTACTGTACGCTCTAGATACGCGTACAATCGTCCTCGATAGATGCAAAAAATACTACGTTTGTGTTGCTTACGGTTGTGTTGTGACTAATAGTTCAATTTTGTCTTTCTTTGTTAGAGTTATTGAAAATGTTTTATTCACGATTACATTGTTGTGATTCGATTGATCAATATTCCGTATAATAAATAAATAAATAACTGACAATACAAGAATGCGCGTTAAAGTCATAGAGAATGAAATAAATGCAAGTATACTTTTGCATAAGTCATATTTAAATTCTTATCAATAATTAATTAATTCAATGTAACGATTTAATATAAATTTAATTAATCGATTTAATGTAACGTAAACTGAACATTTTCTTAAGTAATCAGTTGCTTAATATGTATTGCCAGTACATAGACATAAAATTGACTAATTGATAAAATCATTACGTTATTTTCTTCATATATTTTCTCTTGATTTATAATTTACATATGTTTTGAATATTAAATAATATCTCAAAGATTTGTTTTTTTACGACATTATATTAAGATATAGGAGCTTCCTAACTTCTTATTTCTTAATAAGATAAAAGTAATAATAAAATTTAAATAAATTATTTTATGTATCTTTATTCTCTCTGAATTTTTTAATTTTCTTATGCTTAGCATTTATTATGGGGTATTTTTTTCTTTTTCTCTTTCTTATATATTCTATTAAAAATAAACATCTTAAATAAATTCTAATAGAGATGATTTTATTATTAATATCGCTATACGAATATATAAAATCTAAGTGAATTGAATTTAACAAAGAAATTGTTAAACTCAACGTATTTGACAAAAATGTTCTTAATTTAAATATCAATGAATTTTATATAAAATTTATAAAAAAGGGAGTTATAAATAATAGATATTACAACTATAGGATACACACATTTCTCAATGTTACGTTATAAAATAAAAAAAATGAATAACAACGCAAATAAAGAAACAAAAATGCAAATGCAAATTGTAAATGTAAATTACTTTTACTTTTTACTTTTTACGAAAGCGTTAAAGTGTTATAATTCCATAAAGTATGATCAAATTATGAATGATATAAATAAACAAAACTTGCACAGCAAAAAAGCAGCATTAGGAACTATAACAATCACTATTAAAGTTTTGCATAAAATTTTTGATTGACACAAAGACTTTTGAATTGTGTCATTACATTTACAATGACAATTATTTCTTTATACAACAAATTATAAATTAAAATATTACATAAATGTTAAAATAAATTGTAGTCCTCTTTTGTCTTTGTTTTTTAAAATAAATTATTTTATATTATTTTTCATTTTTATTATGTTTATCATGTTTTTTATTTTTTTATATTACATTAGAATATACATTGTACAATTACAATCATTCATTTCTTTTTATTTTAAATAAAATTTATTAATATTAAAATTTAAAAAAGTTTTTACGTTGCATTTTCTTTATTAAACAATATTTTAAGATTTCTCAGAGATTGAGAAACTATGTGAAGATCATAACCATGATGTAAAAATATGTGCTATATCGTTATAATGATGACTAAATATAATTTGAAATCAATTTCTGAGTCACAATTTATTTTGTACTGTACATTTACAAGAATATTACTTGATAATTCTTATATCATAATATTTCATCTAGATACATCGCATTTCGCAACAAGGATAACAAGTTTGATATTTATTTTGAATCGAAACTTTTCTTCTCGCTTTTGCTTAAATATCAAATGTATACTTCTTTTAATATAATATAAAGAGTAGATTACATATTTGTATGTAAGTAAATATGTAATCCATTTTAGATATATCTATATTTATATATTTATTCAAAAAAATTGTATCGTTTTCACATTAAATATTTTAATTA